TGGTTCGTCTACCCCTCCGATTTCCCCCGCTTCATTCTTCCCCTCCCGCTACCTTCTTCTTCTTCTTTTTTTTTTTTCTTAACATATATTGCATTTGGAATTATTTTTGAAAGCAATAGCAATTCAATTTATGTTGTTCTATATCTATTTCTTTTTGTATCCTGATTACTCTTCGGAAATTTCCTAAAATCAGGAATTTCTCACATTCAATATAACCCTTTCCATGTCCTTTGACCAGGTTTTCTGTTTCCCTGGCTTGTTTTTTCATGTGGTCTTAAATGTGAGGAGGTGTGAGGTCTGGGCTTAGACCAAAGCAGCACATTTTCAGAACCTGCAGGTCATGGGGGCATGAGGAGGAAGGACAGCCGAGTGTGTTTGGATAAGCAGGGTTACTACGGAAACAGAAGGGCTCGAGATGTGATTCTAATGGTTTTGGGAAGCCTTTGAAGGACTTTGAGGAAGGGAGTGATAGAACCCAACTTGTTTTAAAAAGATCCTCTGGTCTCTGTGTGGAGAGTTGACCTAATGGACGCCACAAGCTGGGAGGCTGCTTCACTCTACACCGGGAGCAGCTTGGTCTTTTGGACTCTGGGAGATAAAGTTTCAAGAAAGAAAAACTTATCCCGCCAACAGAATGTGAGCTGTATGAGGGTAGGGACTGCCGTCTGCATAACCACCCCCTATGCCCATATGATGACAATGGCTGGCACAGGGAAGGGGTTCAATAAATATATATTAGTGCATCCTCAGCCAAAGACTGATCACGGTGTGTAGAAAGAGTCCTGAGCCTTGATCAGAAGGCCTGAGTTCAAATCCCAGATCTACTGCATATATAACTAAGTGACCTTTGGAAAAATACTTACCCCCCTAAGCCTCAGTCTCTTCATCTATAAAATAGGACGAATGATAGCTACTAAGTTTTGAGAGATGAAAGGAGGGATATATGGGAGAGTACCTGGACCATGGTAAAAATGAAGTACTTGTTTTCTTCTATCTGAAACTGGAACCACAAGCCCATTTGAAAGTAATACTCTGGGCAGCAGTAATGATGTTATCAAGGGTAGAACTGCCTTTTACTTAATCTTGGCCATCTGAAACCTCCAGTGAACATCTTTGAGTTAAGGATGAAGGTCTCAATGGTGAGTGATTTCTTTAGCTAGTGTTACCCTTCCTCTTGTCAGTGTTGAGGGGGGCTGAAAGTGGATGAGCTTTGTCCAACAAAGCTCTCCCCCATCTGTTCCTTGTAGGGCCTTGGCATCTTGTGATAATAGCCCTGAGCGCTCAAGGGGCCAGGTTGTACTGTTTGCTTTGGTACCAAAGGAATCACTAGATTAATGAAAAGAGCAATATGGCTAACAAGTGCTTCTGAGCCCTTACAGAGAATCATGCCCTGTACATGTATCATCTCCTGGCATCTTCACTGCGGCCCTCTGCAGTGGGTACAGTGCCCCTTTTGCAGGTGGGTTCACTGAGGCTCCATCTCTCAGGTGCTGTAGGTTGTACCAGTGTCACCATCACGGCATCTCATCTTTTGGAGCACTTGCCATGTGCTGAGCCCTTCGTTGGCTCTATTTCACCACGAGCCAGTGGAGCGGTGTTTAGTATTAACCCTTGCATTTAGCACCAAGTGATCATGTAAGGGTTAAAATTACAGTAAGTCTGCATATAAACTAGGCCCTCAGAGATTCTTGAACTCCAGCGAGCATCACAGTTATCCAGTGTGCTTGTAAACATCCAGCTTTCTGGGGTCTGATTCAGTAGGGCTGGGTGAGGGGCAGAGAATTTGCATTACTAACTGGTTCCCAGGTGATGCTGATGCTGCTGGTCTGGGGCCATACTTTGAAACCATTGAACTAAGGGGAAGGAGAAGGCAAAATATTCTAAGACAGAATGGGTTGCAGGCTGGTCCTGTGAGCTGTTAGGTGGATTAAGGAGGACTTCCAGAGAGGCTGAGAATCCCTGAAATACATAACCCTCATCAACCTCTAATTCTACCAGGGCACTCAGCTCAGGTGAGTTATTTGTCTTTCAAAACATAAAATGAAGCAATTTTTTCAAAGCAGCCCTAAAATCCCTCTCCTTGCCCTGTCATCAGAGAGGGACGTGGTCAACGCCTAGAGAAATCCATCCATTGTTCTTGCTTTGGCCAGGATGTTCATTTCGGAGTCAGTGCCAGTTCGAAAATTGCAGTGCACAGAATGCAATGGGTTCTGTCACTCTCTTCTGCCATCTTCATAAATTATTCACACTGCCCAGCATTTAATTCACTTTCCCACTGCGGATCCTCGCCATAACTGTTCTTTCTTCCTTCATTTACAGCTGTGGAACAACTATTTTCATCTGGCGGTGGCTTTTATCACTCAGGACTCTCTGCAGCTGGAGCAGTTCTCTCACGCCAAGTACAACAAAATCCTCAATAAGTAGGTTGCCCGTTTGGGTCTCCTGAAGTGGGGGTTTCATGAGAATTTCGGAGATGGAGATGGAGCCTGAAGCAGATGACATGTGTTGTTTCTCCTAGGTACGGGGACATGAGACGGCTAATTGGCTTCTCCATCCGTGATATGTGGTACAAGCTGGGTGAGTAGGCACATGCGTCTAGACAGACACATCTGCACATGCCAGGCTCCTTCTTGAAGACCATCTGTTGGAGGGCCACGGGGGTTTCAGCAGTGGGAGCTTGAAATAACAGTTTATCACTGTGTGTATCCCGGGTCCTTGATAAGTGCCTGATGAGAGAGAATGCCCATCCCCACGTCCCGCCCCCAAACTGGGTCTGCTTCTGCTTGGTGCCTCTGAGGGCTTAAGAAGTCAGATTGGAATTTACAGAAAGGAGGAAGGGCAGGGCTGCTGTAGGAACTTATATCCTCACACATCACAAATACGCTTCCTGCTAAGTGGTGTGCCACTCCGCCTCCAGCTTCGTTGGTGATGTTGTGATCTACACACGACCCTCCAACCTCACAGAGGAGAAGTGGTTCTGTGGAAGATGAGGGTCTTTTGTGACATGATGTGAGCTGGCAGGTGACCTCAGAGGCCACCCCTGTCTCGGGGAGCTACAGAAATCATGGGTGAACCATGTGGTACCCCTGGGAGGAAGGAAGGGGAACTGGAATCTGAGAGACGTTTACTGAACCTCTGAGTCAGGCCTGCGCTAAGTAGGTCTTATTTAACCTTCACACCACCTCCTACAAGATGGAAAAACTCCCCCTCCATTTATTGATCAGGAAACTCAGAGAGGGAAGTAACTTGCTTGAGATCAAACAGCTGCAAGGCCCAGAGCTTGGTTTGGGTCCCGCAAGGATAGGGGCCACACACCTTGCTCAAGGCCTGAATCTTGCTCCATAAATATGTGCTGAAAAGATGAATGGATAAATGAACAGATTGATGCAGAGTTATAAGTAAAGAGGTATTTTCATCTCCAGTTTGTGTGTGCCCTCCTTGATCCTCTGCTGCCAAGTTGCTCTGCCGTGGGCTTGGACAGTGACCCTCTTCAGGGGAGCCACTTACAGGGATTGTGCTTATTTTAGGGGTTCAATCTAAATGACCTCTCCTGACTTTGCTTCTTGCTTTCCCAGCCTTCTTAGTATCTTTCAGTTCTCTTTGGATTTCCTGGACAGCAGTTTCTTGCCCTTTCCATCAAGGTCCATTTGCTGCAGGGGAAGCACAGTGGACAGACTATCCATCGCTGCTCTGTGCTCACTGGCAGCACCAGACTCGCGTTGAGAGCACACACTGGTAGCAGAAGGGCTACGGATTGCTTTACAAAATCAAAGGGAGAGGCGGGCAACCAGGCCCAGAACTGACTGCCACATCCTGCCTTGGGCCTTATCCTGTCATTTACAAGCTATGAGGTCCAAAGCAAGGGGATGAAGTGACACTGGGCATAATCTGGGGAAATAGCACCTTCTCCCAGGGTGCTTATGAGTTTCATAAGAGCAAAAACTAGGAGAGTGAAGCCATGGAGGCCACGCCCAGGTCAGAATTTTTATCATTGTTTTCCCCCTTGCCCCATCAGGACAGAGCTTACTTTTCCTGTTCTGGCTCTTTCATCATCAACACCAGACCTGTATCACTAGTGTCTGAAGGGCAGGGCCCAGGCAGGTAATGTCAAAGAGGGAAGGGGCCGGGGCATGTTAAACACACAGACATCCGTAAAGCCCGGTACTGTCAACATTTGGAGTTGGATGGTTCTTTGTTGTGGGGGTACTCTGTGCACTGCAGGATATTTAATAGTATCCCTGACCTGTACCCACTAGATGCCAATGGCATCTTCCCTAGTTGTGACAACCAAAAAAGTCTCCAGGCATTGCCAAATGTCCCTGGGGAGAGGGAGAGGAATGTGCAAAACGACCCCTATTTGACAACCACTTCTGTAAAGAAATACTGTCTCTGTTCTCTTTTTCTAGAAAAGCATGCCTTCCTCAGTCTGTCTTTTATTTCTCCACTTTGGATAAGGACAGGGATATAAAAAATATTTTATGTGTCATTTGCCATTACTCTTTAATAGGAAAAAACAAAAAAGCATGGCGCACGTGCAGACCTACCTGGTAGTTGGCACACGGCCACAGGGTCAGGAGTATGGGAAGAAGTAGCTGGGCCTGGAACAACGTGAAGCAAATGTGCCCCAGCTAGAAGGGGCGGCTGCTGTCCTCGTCTGGTCGATTGCTGTCCCATTCTAATGCAAGGCTGATGATGTCTCATCTTCCAGTTTTTCAAAAGAAGCCAAGAAACACAATTTTTAAATGTATTTCCAGTTTCTGAATATTGACGATAACTAATTGGAAGCTTTTAAAGCATTGAATATGCCCAATAAAGCATGGGGCCCAGATTCGGTTTGTGTACGAGTTTGCACTCTTTGCTTTACGACAGCAAAGACGAGATACAGCTGGGGTGGACCTTCTTTCCCACACCTACAGCCCAGGCATTGCCAGGATTGCAAAGCAGGGATTTGTGCTTTGTTTGTCTCTAATTCTTCCACACAGCCTGCTCTTTCCAGAATGTCCTTCATTGCCGTTGTTTTGCACACAGAAGATTTTATTTAGATATAGATTATGTTTTGGCAGACGTTCCTGCACTCCCAATTATGCTGATGAATGAAAAGATGTTACCAAATATTCCACCTGCTTAGAATCACAGAACATCAGAGCTGGAAGGGCCCTTTAGAGATCATATTGTCCAGAATTGTTCAAATGTTTATTTTTAGTGGAGGGCCAATAAAAAAAAGAATCTCATGCTCAATACATAAATTGGTTGAAAGCCGAGCTATTCTAATTGAAGTGGGGTGGGGGGCCCAGAGCCTATTATAACAGGCCACCCCTGAGCTCCCATGTAGACCCCTGAGGATTTTCTGGGGAGAAATTCTGAAGCACCTCCGACAGGTCTAGTCCAACCCACCATTTTACAAAAGAGGAAACTGAGACACAGAGAAGTGAAGAGGGATGTACAAGGTCCTATAGTGCTTAAGAAGCAGATTCAGGGCAAGGACCCTGGCCTGGGTATCTGTCCTAAAGTATCACAGAATCCTCCCTGTTTGCAAATACCTGTAGGATGAATTAAGGAAATTAAAAGATGTACTTGTTAGGGTTTGGAGTTCAAGAAAGAGAAACTGACTATGCCTGCCTTAATCAGAGAAGGTACTTAATCAGAAGGGCAAGGAAAGCCAGGCTATGAAGGACAGGGCCAGAGCCACTCTAGGATCCAAGGCAGGTGGCATAACTTTGCCTTTAGCATGGTCCATTCCTGCATCATCCTGCTTGAAGTTCTTGTCTCCAGGGGACATCATTCTATTGGCCTTCCTCCACTGATGGTCCCACCAAGCCTACATCCATTGAAGGAGGTAGAGTTTCCCAAAGTAAGAGGTTTATGGAGTTGTAGAGAGGTCAAAGTCACAGATGTCCACTGCATGGAACAAGAAGTAAAGGATGCTTTTGCAAAGATGGCCACCCTCCTCACCCCTTGGCCTGGACTTCCAGAAAGAGGAAAGTATATCAGCCTGAAGGGATTTTCCTGTTACTTATTAGTTGCATAGCTGCCTTCTCCTTGCCTGTCTCCTTCAGGGGTAAGAGAACAGACAGAGGAGGCAGAGTGAATGGGTAATTCCCCATCCCCACCCACCCCATCTTGTGTTCTACTAGATCTTGGCATTAGCATGCTTTCTCCTAGTGTGCTAATGAAGTTAACCTGCTAATCCAAACCAGGACCAAGCACTGTATACACTAGAGATGAATGTAGTGGGTAATAATAGGTTTTAAAGTACAATCCATGGAATATCCAAGACCAAGTAAAACTTCAAAGCCATTTGTGGCAGGCACAGCTGAGAGCCCACACAATAGCCATTCTTCCCTTCTTCCTGCTTAACTAAATCCTGTTTTTGTTTTTTTTTTTCATGACATAATTTGCTCAGTTAACAATGTCTTGTAGCAGGTGATGACCATGTGATCCATCTCTGTCCAAAGAGAATCAGCAGAAACAAACTTGTTGGGGTTTCAGGAAATCCATGTTGTCCAGTTAAAACTAAAGGGAAAGGGACAAATTCAGTGAACACAACACATGTTTTGCCCATAGTCCTCCCCCATCTTCCTTTCTGGAAAACAACGAGCTGCCTGGAGGTGCAATAGCCAGTTTGAAACTGTAAAGATAAAAGTCATATGATAAAGATGGAGGAGTAGCTCTAGACTGACCATCTTTAGACTCCTTGTTAAGGGAGAAAGCTAAAGCAGAACTTACTCAGTTTAGCCATGGTAATCAGATGCCTGTTACATCCCTAATTGGTATGTCATCTAATTCAACCCACCCCCCATTTTATAGGTGAGCTCACTGAGGCCCAGAGAGGCATAAGGACATTCAAGGTCAACAACAAATCAGTGACTCAGCTGAGGTGAAAGAACCTGTCTCTTGATCCTAAGTCCAAATGTTCTTACTAATATTTCTTTTTAGAATATGCAAATTACTTTCAAAGAGTGTGAAATAGCAAACTGTTTTTCAGAGACTATGGATAATGAGTAAATCACAATGCATGTTAACCTTTTATATTTTATTTTAATGCCCAAAGCAATCAGGGTGTCATCACCATGATCATCAGTATCATCATCTTCTTCTCATCAGGAAAGATTTGAGCAATCCTATGATTATGAGATAGCTCTTTGCAAAGATAATCTCAGGCTTGAAGATTATTCAACGTTTTTCAGAGAAAAGCCTAGACAAATATGTGTGTGTGTGTATGTGTGTGCGCTTTTGTGAGAGAGGGTACATGCGGGGAGGTATTGATGGAGAGAAGGACCACATCTTGTTACTAGGACCAGGCCACTAAAGGGTTAATACCATTGTGTTTTTGGATCTTGGGACTATGCCAAATGGAATGTACTTTTCCTGATAGTGTAACATCATAACATTTGATTTCTGCTTGGAGTGAAGCAATGCACATTTTGCCAAAATGACTGCACTTAACCATTCCACATTCACTTAGGTTAATGTCAGGCTGCTGTGTTAAGAGTCTTTGTGAGAAAGAAAGACAAATTCTAGCGACTGGCATCATGGCCTTGTATGTAGGGAGGTCACTCCTGGCAAAGCTGTGAGAG